TCAGGATCACCAGGAAGCTTTGTCACCTTGGGCTCTGCCTCCTTTTCAGCTCACGGAGAAGAATGTGGGAAAAGCACAGCTCCACTGCAAGAACTAAGCACTTTCCACATTGTTTCCTGTCTCAGCCAGCTTACTCATGCAAGGATCTTCCCTCACTTCTATTTCATGGCTGTTTAGTTTCCCATGCATAATAATTGCCTCCTAAAATTCTCATGTTTATTGATTTTTGTAACTTTGTAACAGTTTAAAATTATTTGTATTAGTTTGATATTCCATTCTCCAGGTTATGTCACTTAACAGGAGTTCAGTTCCTAGAACTTACTGGCTGAGATGAAGTCCCATTTCTTGAAGAGCTTGCTCCTGCTCCTCACAGACTTTCTCCAACTGCTGCTTCTCATCTTGCAGTTTTCTCAGTTCCTATAAAATGAAGCAAAAAACGAAGTTCTCTGTGTGCCAAATTTGACCTGTAACCTAGATCAGTCTATCCAAACTACCCAAGCAGTTCACAAGAATAAGCTCCTTTACAAAGCTACCTATTTCCAGGGCTTGATTTTTAGAATTACATGGGTGAACTACCCATGGGTTCTGCACAAATGAAGAAAGCTTTTCACCTTTTACCAGAAAGAGGAAGATTTTCAGGCTTTAAACATCCTTGAGCATAGCTAGAACGCAGCAGTGCTATGCCCACACATGAGTGTACAGACAGATACTGGTGTGCAATTGCGTCTTCAAAATCTAAACTGCTGGATACACAGGAGCAAATTCTCTTCAGGTTAACAAGAATGTTCATGCTTAAAAAATAAATTGCATTCAGTTGTTTTGAATGCTTGAAAACATATTTTATTACACACAGTTGAAAGACCTCACACAGTCGCTGAAAGCCCTGAACTTGCCATTTCCTGCCCAAGCAGGGGTATCTCACCATGGGACACAGCTGGTGAGCTTTTTGTCCCTGGCTATCCCACCCTGGCTTCAGACCCACAGGTGGCTAAAGCAGGGTGGAGGGCTAGAGGTGGCCAAGGAGGCTGCAAAGTTGTTTTCATTGCCTGAGCCATTGCATTTCAGGTGCAGACTTGTGTTATGTCAGCCAAGCTTTTGAAACCCCTCCGAGGAGGGTGGTGCAGAGGAAGTACTCTACTGCCGATGCAAACACTGCACTGGTTCCAAGTCAGCTTTAATCCTGAACATGCGGCACGTTTGCAGTGCACGTACCTTTTTCAGTCCTTCCATTTGTTGCAATTCTGTTTTAAGCAGAGTGGTAGCATCCTTCTCTTGGTGTAGTTCTCTTTGCAAAGTTTGTCTCTGTTCCTTTTCAGATTTTAACTCCTTTTCCAGAGTTGAGCTATTTAAAAAGAATTCATTCTAAGAAACCTTACAGCAGAAAAATACCCTATAGCACTTTAAGGATAGCAACAGTACGAGAAGAAACTTTGTCCAAAAGAGGGCAAAAACTAGAGTGGTGTTCTGGGAAAGGAAAGAACAGGAATGTTATGGCAGCAGGCATCGAAAACTGTATTAGCATTTTCGGGTCATGGAAAACGAGCAGCAATGAATGGTTGAAAGAAAAAAGAAAAACCACCCCCAAAACCAAAAAACCAAAACCAGTCCCCACAACCACATATTCGACTACCTGTGTTTAAACAGCCATGTTTAAAAGTGACACTCTACCCTGAAGTCTGAACAGTGAGAGAAGCATTTTCTATAGGTATTAGAAATCTTTAGAGGATGAACATTCCCTAAGAACACCAGGATGCTCCCCAATCCCCTCCAAAAACCCCAATCCATTTGGATGGCAGTCACTTACATGCTCAGCCTACAAGCATGACTGTACTTATCTCCTGATTTAGGGAAAACACAATTGAAAGCTCCATTGCTAGTCAGAACGGCCAGATTTCTACTGGCACTCTGTGCTCCAAATTGGATGTTCTGGAAAAAACATTTCAAAATCCTCATGCTAACTGTGTACTACACAGACTGCTCTGCTTTCCTAGATCTTACACACTTCGGTCAATACTTGCTGAACTCAACAGAATCCAAACCTACCCCTCTTTAGACCCTAGCACAAAAGGAGCAGAAAGCACTTCTTAAAGAAACAGCAGAAAGGAAAGAAAAACACCTGGTCTGATTAAATACCATTTGTTATCCAGTTGGGACATCTGTTGCCGACAAGCGTCAAGCCTGCCAGCAAGCTCTTGCTTCATCTTGTTGCATCTTTCTTCCGCAGCCTGCCTTGCCTTTTCTGCATGCTGCAATCTACAAAGTAAAGAACGTGTACATTTGTTGTTAATTCATGTACTCCTTACCTACACCCTCTCATTCTGTTTTTAGATTTACCATACAGATCTTTTATAAAAGCTTGAACTGAAAATGCTAGTGGAGAAAAAAATAAACCCCTTTTGAAAGCAACGATTTCTGCAAAAAAACCCCCAAAAGTGAGAGTCATACCTGTTCTTAATCTAATGGCAACATCTTTTTAAACAGCCTGCCTATGAAAAGGGCTATGGTTTTTGAGTAGGTCAATTATGGGCATGTTTGCCTGCGAAAAGGTAACAGACAAGCGCAGAGGATGATAAGGAGGAGAAAGGAAAAAGAACATCATGCTAGCACACATGCCCAAATACCTATAGGAGGTGTATGGAAGGTCATCCTATAAAGGTTTCAGTTGGAAACTTTCTACTGACTTCAGCATTGACTTTTTGAGCTTGTAATTATTACCTCTCTTCCATTTGTTTCATAGAGGACATCATCTCATTTGTTTTTCCTTCAAAAGAGGATATTGCTTCTGTTTTCTGCTGTAATGAACACTCTGCATTCTGTGGAAATAAATGAAAAGATATTCCAGGCAATACATTTTCATTTTGTAAAGCATGAAGTGTTAGTGTTTAACGAAAGTCTGCCACTAGATAAAGAATGTTTAGCTTGTTACAGGCCATGCCTGGGTCTAACTGCAACGTACAAACAAAACGCTGATAATGCCAGAGCAGACACTCCTCAACTTGTTTTGCTGAGAGCTCAGAAGAAAAACTTAACTGTACTAAGTTTTGACCTATGAGATCAGCTACAAGCCAAAAAATCTTTTCTTCAGAAACAAGCTTGAAGAAAGAGATGATCAGATTAAATTGACAGGATAAGAATACAAGTTATGATTTGAATGTAACAACCGCACTCAGTAGGCATGGAACCAGGAAGCCAAAAACCCCAAAACCAAACCAAATACTGTTTTGGAAAGCAGAGGCATACCTCGGCACTGGGGTTTCACTGGCCACTGGCCATTGTCTTTGTTTCTGTGCATCTGTGAAGGAGGCAAAGGCCTGGATAAAGCCTGAACAAGCAGCAGGAAACAGTCCATAAAAATGGAGATAAATCCCCTCTGGATTTCTGGCACCATGTATGGGAGGGGAAGTCTAGTTATAAACTCTTATTTCATGAATGGAGACAAGCTCTGTGTATTTTGTGTGAACACTACTACTCCATCACTTCCTTGTAGAAATGCCTACCAGTATATATTTTGTCCAATTGAGAAAACAAAACCAAACACCACAACCCACCCAAACAACAACAAAAAACCCTCACAAAAACATCCCCAAACCCCTGCAATAGATATGATACAAAGGATGGAGAAAGTAAACTCTAAAAACTGCCAGGGTAAGGAAGAGGCTGAGGAAGGAAGACAGGCCCAGAAAGCAAAATGTTTTTCATTTTACTTCTCTAACCATCTTAGATCTGGAGAGCCAGGTCTTATGCTGAAGCGGGTATAACAAAATACCTAAACCAATCCAACAACTTTCTGGTAGCTCCAGAAGCCAGCTTGACCGCAGAATTCCTCCCTCCCCAGACCCAGTGTGGCCTTTCCACTGGCTATAGCACTCAGCTGACCATTTGGGTACAGACTACAGGAAAGGGACAAAAATAACTGATAGTCTTCTATTGGTTTAGAGAGGCTTATTGTTGGTTTCTGTGGTAAAGAGTGTTAAATGTGGTGCAGGTGAAAGGCAAGACACCACAGATGGGAAAGAGAAGCAAGACAGTTCTTGGCTGCAGTGAGCCATTTCCATACAGGCTAATCATCCAGTGGTTAGAACAAAGGACTCTTGCAAACGCCTCCCCTGTGAGAGGTCTCCATTTGTCTCAGCGTTTGTTGGATGATCTCATGGCACACCATACAACATACTCAAGGAAACTCCCTTTCCTTCCAAACGTACCCAGTATCGTACCAATAATGAAGCATAATAAAAAGATTAAACAATTCCTTCTACAGTTTTAAAATAGATATTCTTAAGAAAATTGTTGCATCTAAGTATTACTTCAGATGCACATAACAGCATATGCATCCCCAGTGCACGATTAAGATGTAAAGACCACCGCTACAGCTGCTCTTACCATTCTCCACTATGTACATACCTGAGACTTGTGAAACATCTGCAAGTTAATAGCCTTCACTTCTTCTAACTGTTGGCGAAGTGCAACTAAAGTGTCTTGTTTTTCATGAGTATCTTTTTCCAGAAGTTTCATGGCAATTTCCATTTCTGTTTTCATTCCGATTTGTAGCTCCAACTCTTTCTCTAGTTCCTTACAAAGACATTTCCTAGTTACTGCTATATGTCAGGGATAAGCATTTCCAAAACCCATATAACCCTATACACAAACTATGTATGACTCCAAGATAATACTAAACTATGCCTTTACAGAAGAACTAGGTCTCAAATAATACATTAAGTTAGTAAAACCAGAATACTATTTCAGCTCTCCAGATCAGGGCAAGCGTGCAGATCTGCTGGCAGGGGGTGTAGCGCTCAGTGGGTAACTCACCAGCCTGTCAAATGAAGCATTTCTGGTGGCTGGAGTTGGGCTGACTTAGGGCCACAGGCTTCTGCAAGCCTGGGCAGCCTCTTCACCAGTCACTAATTAGCAGGTCACTGTTGTGCATATACCGTGTTTTCCTCCATAAACAGTTGCCTCTGTGTTTTGATGTCAGTCTCTGCTATAATAATGCTGGTAGATTATTAAACAGGGAAAGACCTTTTATTTTTCCAAAAGCCCCAATTTTCAGTTCTTTACAGACACTGTTAACAACCAGTGTCCAGCACCTTGCTTGCAATTCCTTTATAAATTCTGAATAGCTGCAAGAAGTGCACAGAATACATCTCCTATTGGTAATGCTACCTTAAAGTACAGAATCCTGTATCTTTCATTTCACTTTCTATAGTTCAGTTTCCTTACCAGCCTAATTTTTTTTTCTTCTTTCAACTGCTTCCAAACATCACTGTACATTTCATCAAGACCCTGGCGTGACTGCTTGTAAGTATCCAATTCTACTTTTGTATCCTCTTTTGTAACCTACAAGAAACATCAGCAGAAAAGCCACAGAAGATCACAAGGCTATGTATTTGAAGTACGCCTTAACTTCTTGTGTGTAACACAGTATTTCTATGTGCTATTTCAAGTAAAACCCTACTATTTCACACTTAATAACATGGTGAACGTTAATAAGCTGAAAGTTCAAAAAATAGAGTAAAAATAAAAAGAAACCATTTAATACTTTTAATGCTTTCTCCCTTCTGCAAGTATGTTTAAGTTTGTAGTAAATAACAGCAAAAATCTAATGCCTGTGCATGCTATACACAAACCCAGTGATCTCCACAGGAACATGCTATAAACTGTGCTTCATTTTCCAGTTCAAAGTGCTTCTGAGAGCACTACAGTTGACCAAAAGAGGTCACTTATTTTAAGGATCCTCATCACCTTTAAATAGGTGTCCCACCTCTACACTTTTTTCACTCCGTTCACGAATTAATTCATTTTGTTGCTTTAACTGCTTCTGTTCTTCCTGAAGTGATCCAATTCGGTCAGTTGCTGCTGCAAGCTGTTTACAAAGAGAACATATCTATATTAAATTACTGTACAAGCATGCAACATCTGGAGGAATTCTAAAGTTAGTAGTTCAGCCTTTGTAGCAGGTGCGCTGCGCACTTCCGCTTTCATTCTCCCCAGAAGCTGCCTGACCCTTTTGCAGCCATACTGACGGTGCAGCCTAAATTAATAAGCCCATCCACCACCATTTATTCACTTGACTTCTGCTTCACACCCTCACCAATTGTTTTCAAATATTAACTGTACAAAGAAATGCATCCTAGTGTAAAAGGTTAAAATCCACCACAGACCTGTGGTATTCATTCGGGTATGAACTATAAGTCATATAGCAAGTCAGGGTCGACATTCCCTGGTGGTACCTGACGGCACTTTCAAGTGGAGATATCCCCAAAAGTACCGGAAATTGGACTACACAGATGAAAACCCACCACCACAAAGCCCAAAACAACCACTATCATGCATGCTGCTGGATTCTATTTCAGTTCCCAGCTAGGAAAGATTTCCTAATCGAAGTGTGATTCTTTTCCTTCTCTTTTTCCAAGTTGTTTAACTCATATGACAGATACATACGTGTGTGCATACAGAAGGAAGAGGGACAAGTCATGTTCATTATAGTAGTATGATCACTTTTGGGTGGAGACACCATTGCAAGACTTGATTAAGGAAACCCATCTACCAAGTAGGTGCCCAAAAGTATTTTAACAGCTAACATAATGTCGAAGCTTTCCATAGAGCTTTCCCCATGTGCCAACCCATGCCAGCCCTACCAATCACCCTCATTTCACTAGTATCAACTCAAAATATTTTACATCTAAGGTATATTCTTAGGGAGTTTTGCCTCTGATGGAAAAGAGCTATGAGAAATATTTAACAGACTAGACACAAACCTCTTCCTGGAGTTTTGAATTGGTCTTTTCTAAACAGTCTATTTTGTTCTGAAGATCTGCAACCGTGCAACTACAGCAAGGAAGAGAGATGCATAAAAACAATAAATGTTGAACATTGGCACTTCTTTTATTCCTGTCCTCAACCATACTTTTACCATTTTGCATTTGCTTTGGTGAGCTGGCAAAAAACCCAGAGGAAGGACAACTGTCCCTCTTAAGCACTGAGAGG